CATTTACCTCATGAATACAAACGAGAAAAATTGAAATGTATAACAATGGATTGAAAGTTTTGTAACATTTTACTCTCTGTTAACTGGCATCAGGTCTCAATGGTCAATCTGTGCTCAAAACGTAAGAGAGAAGAAACTAAACGATGTACTCAGACAATTGGAATTTAAAAGCGCACGTCATTAGTTGGTCGATTGTAGTCTTCATGCCTGTGACATTGTGCAGTGTTTTATGTGGCTACCAGTGTTTCGGAGGGATATATCGCCTCCATCTTCCAGGATGAAAATAAATTTGAAAGAGATACTTTCCTCCAGTTGGTCGGTAATTACTGACAAGTCCATTCGGTGTCAGAAGACCACAATCAGCATATCCATCGGTGTGACAACCTAAGATTTCGTGTATCATCTTCAGTGGTCCATCAACACAATTATACGAACCACAACAAGATTTTTGCATATAAGTTATACTCAAATTCAATGTTTTAAATCGGTCTTTCCTTTACTAAACAATATATGTTCAGTAATTAAGGTAATATTTCAACTGTCCTTAATATAAAGGCTATCATAATTAATTCCCGATTTAAGAATTATAACTCTGAATTGAGCAAAACTGCAGATATCATATGAAGCATACAGTGTTGGAGTAAACTTTAAATTTATTTTTACAATTTACAGTTTTAAAAGTACTGAATATGGCTTCAGCGAGTTAATTTCACAGTTTACAATTTCTTTGCGCATGGAGCTAATTGTGACTCACTCTATATTATAATATTTTAATACATAATTTCTAAAAAATATCTACACACAATGCTGATATATGTAATTGTTGTGTGTATAAATCATTTTGGGACATCTGTATGTTTACGAAGTGATCAGAAAATGACAGATTTAACGTATAAACTGCATATTGTTAAACACTTTTAAAGAGATGTAGAAGAAGAACTGAATTAAAGGTTTACGCTGCAAAGGTAGCATCTACACTAGATTAAGGAAGTAAAGTCCGGGCGGGAAAGAGACACGATATCAATGCAACACAGGCATTCGATAATACATTTCCGACATAAAGACAAGTCGCTGACTATCGATATTCGAATCGGAACCTCTCGAACATAAAAGAGCTATAGCTTAAACAGATATCTTGGAATTCCCAAAGAGAATAGGAATGATATCTAATTCAAATTTGGTGTTGGTATCACTGATGTTAACGAAGTGATAAATTATGGTTTTCGCGGACGGAGTTCAGTGTAAAACTTCGGTTTTCGGGAATGAGACACGTCGAATGTTGAAGGTAATCTACAATTTCGGCAAACATTACAGTTGCCATTTTCAGGGTGAATATATGTTAATTGGGCATCTTTGGAAGCCTTGTGTGAGGCAGAAAATAGACGGCGAATGGGATATGACAGATCTGATTGTCTAAGCTATCTCGCATATTAACCCTGAAGATGGCAACTGCAATGTCAATCGAAATTTTAGATAAATTCTAACATTCGACGCAGCTCATTCTCTAAAGCTAAAAGTTTTACATTTGTCATGTTACAGTTTACAGTTTATGATATTACTGCTAAAGATTTTTGCCCTATGAAATAATTTCATTTAACGTAATTATCTATACTTATTACAGCCTATTTAACCATCCTGTAGTGCAGATTACAGCCCTAAAAGAATAAAAAAACATTTTTACTTCGACGCTGTGTGTAAGGGTTTATATCCATCTCTTTAACTATAGCATGTGCGTATTGGAAAGTGTAAACATGGCAGTAATGCGAAATTCGAAGGCTGTACCTTGAAATTAAATGGAATCCACTATGAGTTACTCGATGTGCTACTATGTGAGGTAGATTTCTTTACATATCGTGGACCTATGTGAATAAGTGAAATGTGTGGCTTCTTTAAAATATCTGTCCAGCTTATGGCCCGAAATAAGCCATTCTCTGTTAACCAGTTGGTAAGTACCAACCAAATGCTTGACGAATGAATGTAACTCTACTACATTATTGAGCTTGCTGCAAATCCTAATATAAATTATTGAAACGAAGTAACTAATTTATAATTCAAAATTATAAACACTGGGGCTACTGTATAGAACCTACCTAATTTAGGACGTATTAATACAGAAGTAATCATCAAGCAGATAATATGTTATACAAGCGTCTTGCTGGGTACATATTATAAAGAGTATACACAAAAGAATGGTGCGGTTTCAAAAGTAAATAAAAAATTTATTTCTCACCTTACACGGGCACAACATACAACGTCAGCGGCGGCGACTGTCCAAGTTTCTAATGCGTTAATTACAATCCTTCAATGCGTGCACCCTGGGTCACACGACACACATCCACACGGTGTAGCATTTCCGCTGTAATGGCCTGCAGTGCATGCGTTATCCGATCACGAAGTTCATGGATGGACGTGGGCAATGGTGGTACATAAACGCTGTCTTTAACGAACCCCCAAAGAAAGAAATCGCACGGTGTAAGATCTGGCGAACGGGGTGGCCAAGGGAGAAGGTTGTCGTCTCCATTTGCAGCAGCACGTCCGATCCAGCGCTGTGGAAAAACACGATTGAGAACCACTCGTACA